TGACCTTGAGAAGGCATATTATACAACTTAGAGGTATAATGTTTTGACCCAAGCCCACTCCTTAGGCCTCCGAGGCAATCTACCATCCTTCCTTAAAAACTTTTTAACTGACAGGGATGTGTTTTGAGCACAACACTTTTTCTCCTTGCTATAAATGATTTGGCCTCTAGTCTTCCATCCAGTATTTGGTCATCACTCGATGTAGATGACTTCACTATAACTTGTGAAGGCGCTAACATTATTACAGTTTCTCTCCAGCATGCAGTCGACCGTGCTTCCAATTGGGCCACCACGCATGGGTTTAAATTTTCCAGTACCAAAACTCGCCAGATTACTTTCACTAGATGTTCTGTCATCTCCGATCATCCTTTGTACCTCTATGGCTCACCTATCCCTGAACATGATACAGTCAGGTTTCTAGGCCTTCTCTTTGACCGTAGGTTATCCTGGAAACCTCACATTACCTCTCTGAAGGCAACTTGTCACAACCGGTTGAACCTTCTTAAAACCATTGCTCATCTTTCATGGGGAGCTGATCATCGAACTCTCCTTCGCCTACATTCAGCCCTCATTTTATCGAAACTCGATTATGGTGATCAGATCTATTCAGTGGCCTCTCCTACTACTCTCTCGAGCCTTAATCCCATCCATCACCAGGGATTACGTTTGTGCCTTGGTGCTTTTCGCTCTTCCCTTGTTGAGAGCCTCTATGCAGAAGCGAATATCCTATCCTTGTCCATGATGCAGTGATGCCCATTGCCTTCGCTACTATGTTCACTCTCATGATCTCCGCAATCCTTCCATATATAGAATAGTCACCGATGTTAGTAGACATTATTTGTTGGTTGCCCCTGTTTGCTCCATCCCTTTTCTCTTCGACTACATTCGCTCTTGTCTTCCCTTCAGTTACCACCTTTCTATGTTCATGTAGCATCTCACTTTTCCCTGCCCCCCTGGGAAGTTCCAGCTGTTCGAGTCTGTTCTTTCTAACTCCCCTACACGAAAGCCCAACTATCTACGGTAGCTTCCCACTCTCTTTTTCTTGACCACTTCTGCTCTCATTCTCATGCCATCGCAGTGTATACACATGGCTCTAAGTCTTCTGATGGTGTCGGATTTGCAGCAGTGTTTTCAGACAGTGTTGTGCGAGGACATTTACTATCCTCGGCTAGCATTTATACAGCTGAATTGTATGCCATTCTTGTAGCACTTATCCGTATTGCATCTATGCCTGTGTCATCATTTGTGGTTGTCTCAGACTCCCTTAGTGCTTTACAGGCTATACGAAAATTTGATACACCTCACCCCATAGTCCTCCATATCCAACTTTGGCTACGCCGTATTACTACCAAGCATAAACCCCTGAACGTGATAGTCAAGTTTCTGGGCCTCCTCTTTGATCGTAGGTTATCCTGGAAACCTCACATTACCTCTCTGAAGGCAACTTGCCACAGCCGGCTGAACCTCCTTAAAACCCTTGCTCATCTTTCATGAGGAGCTGGTCGTCGAACCCTCCTTTGCCTACATTCCACGCTTATCTTATCGAAACTTGATTATGGTGACCAGATCTATTCAGCGGCATCTCCTGCTACTCTCTCTAGCCTTAACCCCATTCATCACCAAGGATTACATTTATGCCTTGGTGCTTTTCGCTCTTCCCCTGTCGAGAGCCTCTATGCAGAAGCGAACGTACCATCCTTATCCGATCGCCGTGATGCCCATTGCCTTCGCTACTATGTACGCTCTCATGATCTCCGCAATCCTTCCATTTATAGAATGGTCACTGATATTAGTAGACATTCTTTATTTGTTCGCCGCCCCTGTTTACTCCGTCCCTTCTCTCTTCGCCTTCATTCGCTCTTGCCTTCTCTTCAATTACCACCTTTCTATGTATATGTAGCATCTCACTTTTCCCTACCCCCCTGGGAAGTTCCAGCTGTTCGAGTCTGTTCTTTCTCTCTCCCTTGCTCGAAAGCCCAACTGTCTACGGTCGCTTCCCGCTCTCATTTTCTTGACCACTTTCACTCTCATTCTCATGCCATTGCTGTGTACACAGATGGCTCTAAGTCTTCTGACGGGGTAGGATTCGCAGCAGTGTTTCCGGACAGCGTCGTACAAGGGCATTTACTATCTTCGGCTAGTATTTTTACTGCTGAATTGTATGCCATCCTTACAGCACTTATCCGTATTGCATCTGTGCCTGTGTCATCATTTGTGGTTGTCTCAGACTCCCTTAGTGCTTTACAGGCTATACAGAAATTTGATACACCTCACCCATTAGTCCTCCGTATCCAACTTTGGCTACGCCGCATCTTTACCAAGCATAAAGATGTTTTTTGTTGGGTCCCTGGTCATGTTGACGTACAGGGCAATGAGCAGGCAGACACTGTTGCACGGTCAGCAGTACATGACCTACCAGTTTCATGTAGAGGTATTCCATTTACGGACTATTTTGCTGCAATATCTTCCCAACTTCACACCCGTTGGTCTGTATAGTCCTTGTGGCTTAGCGCTTCTTTTTGATTATAATAATAATAATAATAATCACACCCGTTGGCAACAACGGTGGTCTACTATGCTCGGCAACAAACTTCAATCTATTAAACCGAGTATAGGTTACTGGCCGTCTTCTTATCACCAGTGTCGAGGTTGGGAGACTACTCTCTCCCGTCTTCTTATCACCAGTGTCGAGGTTGGGAGACTACTCTCTCCCGTCTTCGCATTGGCCATACTCGTCTTACTCATGGATATGTCATGGAGAGGCGCCCTGCTCCTCTCTGTGAGAATTGCCGAGTTCCATTATCAGTCAGCCACATTCTGTTGGACTGCCCACTTTATCAACGAGCACGCAGAATTTACCTCCGTCGTCGTCTTCGCTCTGCTGCTCTCTCTTTACCTTCCCTTCTCGCTGATGGACCCACCTTTCATCCAGACTCTCTCATTGACTTTTTGACAACAACTGACTTACTTCACAAATTCTGATACCTTCAGCCCTTTCTACTTCAATCTCATGCTGCCCCCTACCCCCGTACTATCCCCTGCCCCCTCTGTTTTCTGTAACCTACTGATCATCCCTCCTCCCTTCTGCCATCCAATACCCTCGCTTCCTTCCCTACCCTGCAGCGCTGTATAGCCCTTGTGGCTTAGTGCTTCTTTTTGATTATAATAATACCAAGCATAAAGATATTGTTTTTTTGTTGGGTCTATGGTCATGTTGACGTACAGGGCAATGAACAGGCAGACACTGCAGACACCTACCAGTTTCATATAAAGGTGTTCCATTTACGGACTATTTTGCTGTAATAGCTACCCACCTTCACACCCGTTGGCAACGATGTTAGTCTAATCTACTCGGTAACAAACTTCATTCTATTAAACCGAGTATAGAGTACTGGCCGTCTTCTTTTCATCAGTGTCGAGGTTGGGAGACTACCCTCTCCCGTCTTTGCATTGGCCACACTTGTCTTACTCATGGGTATTTCATGGAGAGGTAGCCTGTTCCTCTCTGTGAGGCGTGTCAGGTTCCAGTATCGGTTAGCCACATTCTGTTAAACTGCCCTCTCTATCAACAAGCATGCAGAAGTTACTTTCAACGTCGTCTCCGCTCTACTACTCTCTCTTTACCTTCCCTTCTTGCTGATGGACCCTCCTTTAATCCTGACTCTCTCATTGACTTCTTGACAACAAATGACTTGCTCCACAAACTCTGATGACGATACTTTTCGCACTTCCCTCAACCCTTTCTACCTCAATCTCTTGCTATCTTCTACCCCTGCACTATCCACTGCCCTGCATAACCTACTAATTATCCCTCTCCCTTTTGCCACCTGATACCCCTGCTTCCTTCCTGTCCTGCAGCACTGTATAGCCCTTATGGTTTAGCGCTTCTTTTTTATTATAATAATATTTGCAGGTTAAGGATCCCTAGCTTTATTGACAAGCTATTTACGGGTTAAGGATCCCTAGCTTTATTGACAAGCTATTTACAGGTTAAGGATCCCTAGCTTTATTGACAACCTATTTATAGGTTAAGGATCCCTAGCTTTATTGACAACCTATTTACAGGTTAAAGTTCCCTAGCTTTATTGACGAGCTATTTACAGGTTAAGGATCCCTAGCTTTATTGACAAGCTATTTACAGGTTAAGGATTCCTAACTTTATTGTCAAGCTAAGAGCTGTTACAAACATCAGCTCATTTGAAAGCATTTTTATTGTTATGAGACAAGTAAGGAACAGGATGAGGTTGGAGCCATCTGTGGGCCAGCTGTGGGCCAGCAGTGGGCCAGCAGTGGGCCAGCTGTGGACCAGCATTTTCATTGATCAACTGACTTTATCTCGTTGACATCATAATGCTGTACGAATGTGTTCCATACTCGAGTCATCCTGGGGATAAATGGTCTCAGATAAAGTGATGTTCTGGAGAAGGGTACAGCCAGAGTGAAGTTGCTGCTTTCTGCCCGTCTTGTGGTATAGAAGCTTGCTTCTCGCTGTCCTCGAAGTGGATGCAAGTGTGATACTTGGACAATATTGGCCTTGTACATAACAGTAAGGCCACCCACATCCCTCCTGTGTTGAAGGCTCTGCTGAAATGACAGATCTATCCAGGATGGGTCCAGACGAGAGATGAGACGTCTTGCTCTGTGCTCTACTCTGTCAAGCAGTCGCAGATGATAGGGGGGGGGTCATACTCAAGGTGTGAGCGTACTTGTCTCTCTCTCTCTCTCTCTCTCCCTGATAATGTGAGAAATCATGAAAGCACTTGGAAGTTCACTGATCATTTCACAGGGGTTATTCTACATATTGTCACATCACCTGTTGACTGTGATCTTAGTGCATGTATAGGTAAATATAATCGCAAGCAGGTGATTTTAACAATCCAGAACAAGCCACATATATATATAACATTTCCATTCCTATGTGGCTTGTTCTGCATATATATACGTACATATATATAGGCATACCCTCTTCCCATGTGTAATTATGTACCGTATTCCTTCAGGTGAACATCGAGCAGCGATGCAGAGTGACTCCAGTCCCAGAATGTTTGTACCATTGTTTGTGATCACTGTTGATGTGTCTCTCACATATATGGTTCAGCTGTACATGAGTAGCATTGATGGTGCTCCCTAAGTGACTACATCCAGCTGTCGTGGGTAATATACCTCATATGTATGATAAACAGTTGATGGGAAGCATCTCTTGGCTCTTGTTGGATCCTAGGACTGTGTGATACTTGAGGACATACTGTTAACTTGTAGGCTGTGGAGTGTGTGATTCTTGTCGTGGCTGGGGTATGTCATTCCTGTCGTGGCTGTGGTATGTCATTCCTGTCGTGGCTGTGGTATGTCATTCCTGTCGTGGTTGGGGTATGTCATTCCTGTCGTGGCTGGGGTATGTCATTCCTGTCGTGGCTGGGGTATGTCATTCCTGTCGTGGCTGGGGTATGTCATTCCTGTCCTGGCTGGTGTATGTCATTCCTGTCGTGGCTGGGGTATGTCATTCCTGTCGTGGCTGGGGTATGTCATTCCTGTCGTGGCTGGTGTATGTCATACCTGTCGTGGCTGTGGTATGTCATTCCTGTCGTGGCTGTGGTATGTCATTCCTGTCGTGGTTGGGGTATGTCATTCCTGTCGTGGCTGGTGTATGTCATTCCTGTCGTGGCTGGGGTATGTCATTCCTGTCGTTTCTTGGTATGTCATTCCTGTCGTGGCTGTGGTATGTCATTCCTGTCGTGGCTGGGGTATGTCAGTCCTGTCGTGGTTGTGATATGTCATTCCTGTCGTGGCTGTGGGATGTCATTCCTGTCGTGGCTGGGGGTCTCGTAATATAGGTTCTTCAGAAAGTGACACAAATCATGTCGAATTAACTACAAATTATAAATGTGAAATTTGGTGGCTGTCAAATTGGCACTAATGTACACTATCATTATCAGTGTACACGATCATAAGTGTACACTATCATTATAAGTGCACTATCATTATAAGTGTACTATCATTATAAGTGTACTGTCATTATAAGTGTACACGATCATTATGATGCTGACACTAGTGTACACGATCATTATGATGCTGACACGTGTACACGATCATTATGATGCTGACACTAGTGTACACGATCATCATGATGCTGACACTAGTGTACACGATCATTATGATGCTGACACTAGTGTACACGATCATTATGATGCTGACACGTGTACACGATCATTATGATGCTGACACGTGTACACGATCATTATGATGCTGACACGAGTGTACACGATCATTATGATGCTGACACGAGTGTACACGATCATTATGATGCTGACACGAGTGTACACGATCATTATGATACTGACACTAGTGTACACGATCATTATGATGCTGACACGAGTGTACACGATCATTATGATGCTGACACTAGTGTACACGAACATTATGATGCTGACACGTGTACACGATCATTATGATGCTGACACTAGTGTACACGATCATTATGATACTGACACTAGTGTACACGATCATTATGATGCTGACACTAGTGTACACGAACATTATGATGCTGACACGAGTGTACACGATCATTATGATGCTGACACTAGTGTACACGATCATTATGATGCTGACACGTGTACACGATCATTATGATGCTGACACGTGTACACGATCATTATGATGCTGACACGTGTACACGATCATTATGATGCTGACACTAGTGTACACGATCATTATGATACTTACACTAGTGTACACGATCATTATGATGCTGACACTAGTGTACACGAACATTATGATGCTGACACGAGTGTACACGATCATTATGATGCTGACACTAGTGTACACGATCATTATGATGCTGACACGTGTACACGATCATTATGATGCTGACACGTGTACACGATCATTATGATGCTGACACGAGTGTACACGATCATTATGATGCTGACACTAGTGTACACGATCATTATGATGCTGACACGAGTGTACACGATCATTATGATGCTGACACGTGTACACGATCATTATGATGCTGACACGTGTACACGATCATTATGATGCTGACACGAGTGTACACGATCATTATGATACTGACACGAGTGTACACGATCATTATGATACACGAGTGTACACGATCATTATGATACACGAGTGTACACGATCATTATGATACTGACACGAGTGTACACGATCATTATGATACTGACACGAGTGTACACGATCATTATGATACTGACACGAGTGTACACGATCATTATGATACTGACACTAGTGTACACGATCATTATGATGCTGACACGAGTGTACACGAACATTATGATGCTGACACTAGTGTACACGAACATTATGATGCTGACACGTGTACACGATCATTATGATGCTGACACGAGTGTACACGAACATTATGATACTGACACTAGTGTACACGAACATTATGATGCTGACACGTGTACACGAACATTATGATACTGACACTAGTGTACACGAACATTATGATGCTGACACGTGTACACGAACATTATGATACTGACACTAGTGTACACGAACATTATGATACTGACACTAGTGTACACGAACATTATGATGCTGACACGTGTACACGAACATTATGATGCTGACACTAGTGTACACGAACATTATGATACTGACACTAGTGTACACGAACATTATGATGCTGACACTAGTGTACACGATCATTATGATACACGAGTGTACACGATCATTATGATACTGACACGAGTGTACACGATCATTGATACTGACACGAGTGTACACGATCATTATGATACTGACACGAGTGTACACGATCATTATGATACACGAGTGTACACGATCATTATGATGCTGACACGAGTGTACACGATCATTATGATACTGACACGAGTGTACACGATCATTATGATACTGACACGAGTGTACACGATCATTATGATACTGACACGAGTGTACACGATCATTATGATACTGACACGAGTGTACACGATCATTATGATACACGAGTGTACACGATCATTATGATGCTGACACGAGTGTACACGATCATTATGATACTGACACGAGTGTACACGATCATTATGATACACGAGTGTACACGATCATTATGATACTGACACGAGTGTACACGATCATTATGTTAAGTGTACACGATCAATATGCTGAAAAAAATGTACACAAGGAACATTACAGAACACCAGTGTCTGTGCTGCTGTACCATCCACTGAATAAGGTCGTTTACATGCGTCTGAAGTCCTCCACAACGAGCCCAGTACACACTAAGCCTTTTAAATTCTCATAAAAGCCATTTACAGGTTGTCGCACTTTCTGATGACCTTTTAGTTACTGGAGTGATTCCCAAGTGCTTGGTCGGGGTGGAACCCTTTCAGGCAGTAACTACTGATACTTTGATATTTAGTACATTTAACTGTTGTTACTAAAGTCTGTTCGATCTGAGAATGTATATACAGTATATTCCTCTATTATCCTTTGTATACATATATAAATTTAATGAGATTCTTTAAGCAAAATGTAATATCTGCCTTAGGAAAGTAATACAGTGTAAAATAAAAGCCATACCACGGGTGGGGTTAGAACCCGCGGGCAGAGAATCTTAAATCTTCAGACCGATGCGTTAACCACTGGGCCACCTGGCTATAAGATTATTGTAGATAAATTAGATACATGTACAACTCTTGGGTATCTTTTATTGAGGAAACGTTTCGCCACACAGTGGCTTCATCAGTCCATACAAAGGAGAATCTTGAAGAACAGGAGTATCTGATTACCTCATTCTCCTCCTGTTCTTCAAGATTCTCCTTTGTATGGACTGATGAAGCCACTGTGTGGCGAAACGTTTCCTCAATAAAGATACCCAAGAGTTGCACATGTGTCTAATTTATCAACATGTCGGTTCTCTGAACCATTCATCTACAAGATTATTGTAGCCAGCTGGCCCAGTGGCTAACGCGTCGGTCTGGAGTTTTATTACTCTCTGACCGCGAGTTCTATCCTCACCCGTGGTATGGGTGGTGGATTTGTTGAGCATTGACTTTACGAGGGTCATTAAGGCTGTACGTCACTTGTTCACCACCAGTTCACAGCACCTCAGTCCTTAAAATAAGATTTAAAGTAAACTTTCAGCATATATACGCTGAAAGACGTACACCCGTCAGTGTTGGTTGACTGGTTAAGTGGACTTAAAGCCTGTTGACTGAACGAGAGTCATTAAAGCTTAAGACGTGTACACCACCAGTCAAGAATACTTTGATCCCTAAAATTGGGATTAAAGTAAGATCATGGTATATACACTGAGTCATGCACCTCACGATGTGTATATCCTACCTCTCAGTGTGTATATACACTCTAGCACTGTCTCAGTGTTCTTAATAAAAGGTCACTGTTGACACTCGGGATAATGTACATCTGGAACACACTAATTCTCAGTCCTATCTTACCTACAACTTCTCTCATTTTTTTATATACAAGCTTCTTGATGCTCAGTAATCCACGTGATGACAGAAACTCAGGAGATTAATTGGTCTGTGTATTTCGAAACCCTTTTGGGATCCTCTTGAAAAGAGGATCCCAGAAAGGGATCGCAATATATAGAACAAAAGGAACAAAAAAGGCACAATACCGTGACTGAAACAATACATTAATAACCCGTCCGTAGGAGAGAGAAGTATGACGACGTTTTGGTCCGACTTGGACAGTTTACAAAGCCACACTCTGACTGTAAATGATCCAAGTTGGACCGAAACATCTTCATAAACTTCTCTCTCCCATGGACGGCTTATTTGTGTATACAGATCAATTAATCCGTGTTTCTGACTCATTGTGGATTATTACTGAGCACTGACAAGTGTTCATTATATTTTAGCTATTCAAGCTTTGTAATATTTATTTCTGCCTTTATTCAACATTCACCCCAAAAATTTCAGGCCTATTTTTAAATTTTGCAATTATATATATATACTAAATGAACTGGCTAATCAAACTCAGATTTTATCCAAAGGTTTTGATGCAGGAATTATAATCACCTGGTTCACCTAGATAACAGATAGTAAACATGGCAACCATATTGATTTTTATCTCCGTTTTTTACCTACTGATATCAGCAAAATCATTTAATTTATGCTCTGATTATTGTGAGACTTTTATGAAGTCTTAATATTACAGTTCTGGAACTTTATAAAAGAGTTCCAGGACTGTAATATGAAATTATGTTCCAGGAATAATAATATGGCTGGATCAGTAAATTACAGTACCGAGGTCGGAACGATTTTAAACAGTTTTGAAGTACATATATCGTGAAGCAGGTTCGAGATTACTGGTTTTGTATATTTCGCCATTATATATATATATATATATATATATATATATATATATATATATATATATATATATATATATATATCGCGTGTGTGTGTATGTAATCTCCAAGGACAATGACTGGAAATATAAACACATATGCAGTATAATGTGATCCTTTATTGACAACGTTTCACCCACACAGTGGGCTTTTTCAAGTCACACACAGATCTACCTGGGGTGGAAGATACGGGAGTATTTATAGTCATGTTCAGAATGTTGAGGTCAGGTGGAGAATGCTGCATCTGATGATCTACCGGGTGGAGTTATAGAGTCTTGGGTAGCTTGGCAGGGGTATTGGACAAGTTGTGAGTAGACCTTCTGCAGTGTTCTATGTTCTTATGTGGGATAGCGATGAAGAAGTTTTGTTAGGTAGGACACATATGCAACAGTTAGGTATCTTTATTTTGAAACGTTTCGCCTACACAGTAGGCTTCTTCAGTCGAGTACAGAAAAGTTGATAGAAGCAGAAGATACTTGAAGACGATGTAATCCTTAAAGTTTTGAGGTGGTCAGTCCCTCAGTCTGGAGATACCTAACTGTTGCATATGTGTCCTACCTAACATTCTGTCGGTATTTTATACCATTTTAATGATGAAGAAGTTTCTTGGCGAGTGGTTCAGCTATGTTATAGAAGCCGTTGTTCTGGTTGAAATTGTTGGTTATAGAGATAAGCGATGATTCCAGGATTCTTCGGTATTGAGTGTTGTCTTCTGTGGCGATAAGTCTTGAGTTTCTGTAGTTAATTAAATGGTTGTGTGAATTGCGATGTTGTACACAGGCATTCCTTGTATCGTCAGTCCTGCTTGCATATTGGTGTTCTGAAATACGTGTTTGGAGGTCTCT